TTGTGCTATGAGCAGTTTAGAGGATAACCATGTGTGTTTATTCTCTGTATATATGTGGAGTTAGAACGTAAATACTGTATGGAAAACTGCTTATTTAAAGAAACAGGACTTTTCACAGTTTTCACAAGTTCATTTGTTGGTTGGGTGTCTGTCTGTCTGTGATCCCAGCTCTGACCAGACAAAGGCTCAGACAGCAGAGACTGCACTGCTGGAGCCAGGTGTGTCTGGTGGGGATGCTCCAGTGCAGGTATCCCAACCAGGACAAGTCCAACCATCAGAAGCAACAATGAGATTCCAGGACAGCAACCTGAATTTTGTCTGTAAATGATCAATTGATGAATACAAAGATTTTTTTTCAGGTGGCACAACAATTTTCAATTGCCATTTGAGAGTCCTTAGAGGACCTGATTTTCAGAAATGGGTGAGCGCATGTTTTCTGAAATTTAAAAATACTTTCAAATGTTTCAAGTGAGAAGCCCAAAGTCAAGGACCCAGGAATGCTGCAGCATTAGGCATGTTCTCAGTACCCAGGTTGGATTCATTTGCATTTGGTGAAAGCCACCACGCACACTGGAGTACACAATCTGCATTGCTGTGACACAAGATTAAACTTTATTATTGTCTTGCTTTTAATTGCTAACAAGCGTAAAAATTACCCTGGCCATTTCCTAAAGAAGCAACTGATTGTTTTCCTCTGCTTATATGACCTGCTAATGTAATTTGAGGACAGAAATGAAGGAGTGAAGGTATGGAGTCATGTGTGGACCTGTTGGCTGTATTAGCTGTCTTTTAACATGTGCTTTGTGTAATAAGAGGAGACTTTGTATTTTAAGCAGTTTAGAAATAATGTTGGGGTGTTTTTTTAATTTAAATATACAATAGTAAATGATCTCAGTCACTGGTAATGCTTCCTGACATGCAATTTATTCTGGTGCTGAAGTGGATTCTGCAGAGCCCATGGGATACGGCTCCTTTAAGCACCTTTGTGGAAACAAATCTTGTTATCAACGAGTGTTTTAGACTAGTATTGCTCTTCACATCTTGGCAAGATATGAATTCCACTGCTCTCCCTATTTATTTGTGTTTGATCACTAATGGTGTGTGGATCTGGTGAGGAGGAGGGAACAAAGCAGAACACAGCACGTCTCCCTGGACGATCACTCTGAGTGAGTGTGTGTTTTATATATTACAGGAAGCAGCCATCAGCTGCTGGATCCAGTTCAGTGATGGATCTGTCATGCCCCTGGATATTTATGACTCCAAAGACTTCTCCTTGTCAGCCACCTCCCTGGATGAGAAGGTGGTGTCCATCCACCATGACCCCAAGTTCAAGTGGCCTGTGATTGCTGCTGAGACCGAGGGCCAGGGGACCCTGGTGAAGGTGGAGATGGTGATCAGTGAATCCTGCCAGAAATCCAAAAGGAAGAGCATCCTGGCTGTTGGGAGTGGCAGCATCAAGGTCAAGTTTGGGCAGAGCGACGCCAACCCCAACATCAGTGACAGCAAGCACAGGGGCGCCGGCGTCCACCTGGAAAACCACGGCAGCGACCGGCGCCAAAAAACCAGCTGGCAGGAGAGAGGAGGGGATGGGCAGTACTACAGCTCCTCCATGGGCCACGAGCTGGGCAGGGGCACCACCACCCACAGGTCCATTCTGAGCAGGAAGGAGGACAGGGAGAGCCTCCTGGATGATGACAGCCAGAACCTGCCCATAGACTTCACCAGCTTCCCCGCCCAGGTGGACCTGCCGAGGGACAGCGGGGACTCGGAGGAGAACGAGCTGGTGCAGTCCCCCCGGGGCCTCAGCGACCTGGAGATCGGCATGTACGCCCTGCTGGGCGTCTTCTGCCTCGCCATCCTGGTGTTCCTCATCAACTGCGTCACGTTCGCTCTCAAGTACAGGAACAAACAAGTTCCCTTTGAGGAGCAGGAGGGCATGAGCCACTCTCATGACTGGGTTGGGCTGAGCAACAGGACAGAGCTCCTGGAGAACCACATCAACTTCTCATCCCAGCAGGATGAACGAATCACAGCCATTGACAGGGGAGTGGACTACGAGGAGAGCAAGTATCTGCTCAACACAACTGCCACCACCAATATCAATGGACAATCTTTCAGGTCTCCTGAGTCCCCGTTCAGTGAGGGGAAAGAACAGAAAAGTGAACCAACCACTTCTCCTACCTCTAAGAGGAAACGGGTTAAATTCACCACCTTTACCACCATCTCCTCCGATGATGGGTGTCCAACTGTCAACTCCATCCTGATGAGCAATGAGGATGACATTAAATGGGTCTGCCAGGATATGGACCTGGGGGAGTGCAAAGAGCTTAAAAACTACATGGAGAGATTGCACGAAAATGCGTAATGAGACACAAAAGACTTTTTTTGCTTTGGTTTGTTCGTTTGTTTGTTTTTTCACTCACCTTCTGCCTTTAATTTTGGGTAGTGGGGCAAAATGTTGTATTCTAACAAGAATCAGCTGGTGGATAATAACACAATGGAGCCCCAAGAAGCCACCCAAAAGCAGCTGGGAGAGCAGAGATCCTGGACAGCTCTTAAAATTCAAGTCTTCTCTGTGCTCAGAGATGGAAGTGAGAGATGTGTGTGGTTTTTTGATACACAGTAACATGAAAAAAAAAATTAGAAAAATAATACGGTCTCATTCTCTGTGCTTTCCCAGGAAATCAATAAATATAACAAACTCCAGTACAGTTTGGATATTACAAAGCTCACACAGCTCTACTGTTCCATATTGCAAGCTTTGGTTAAAAAATTGCTCTCAGAATAAATAGATCCATGCAAAGAGCGTGTGGCTCGAGCCGCGTGCAGAGAATATCCATCCAGGAACATTCATTTAAAGCTGACAAAAACCAACAGCGTGAAGGAAGCAGCTCCCAGAGCTGAGGAGTCGTGGGTTTCCAAAGAGTCTGGAGGGGATAAAGGCGTAACTGGGCTGTTTACAAACCAGCATGTTTGCCTCCCAAGCACTGACAGTGGATACACAGATACAGTTCAAACTGAAACTCTCTTTTTAAGTAGATGCCAAGGTAATAAACTTTGCCAGCCAATTTTTGGTATTTCTTAATTTGTAAAATAGGAGAAGATATAATCTATACTCAGAATATCACTCATATTAATGAAGGTCTGTTTTGGAAAGTTTGAGAGAATGAGCTATTTTTAAAAGCCCACTTTATCTGATTGTCCTGTTTTGAATTTGTATTCCCAGCCCTTTCCCTGGAGCTCCCCATCTCGTATCCTGAGGGCACTTCCCAGATCAGTCAGCCTTGGAAGCTGTGGTCCCTTTTCCTTTTCCTTTTCCTTTTCCTTTTCCTTTTCCTTTTCCTTTTCCTTTTCCTTTTCCTTTTCCTTTTCCTTTTCCTTTTCCTTTTCCTTTTCCTTTTCCTTTTCCTTTTCCTTTTCCTTTTCCTTTTCCTTTTCCTTTTCCTTTTCCTTTTCCTTCCCCTTTCCCCTTCCCTCCCCTCCTGGCTGCTCCTGCCCAGCCCAGCCCTGCTGGTTCCAGTCTGTCCTGCCTTTCCAGGCTGTCCCTTCCCAAGCTGGCCGGGTCTCTGGGCTCAGAGCCACTTGTGCTGCGCTGGCCACCAGCAGCTGTCCCCTGTCCTGTGCCCAGCTGTCCCCTGCCCCATGCCCTGCTGTCCCCTGCCCCGTGCCCTGCTGTCCCCTGCCCCATGCCCTGCTGTCCCCTGTCCTGTGCCCAGCTGTCCCCTGTCCCGTGCCCTGCTGTCCCCTGTCCCGTGCCCTGCTCTGGGGGTGCTCAGGTCCCCCCTCCTGGCCCAGCAGGTTCGGAGGTCGCAGGGCAGAGCTGCACCCCCAGCTGAACCCAGCAGATAACACTGCTTTCTCCCAGGGGTGATAATATCTTCTGTTTGCTTCTGATCACAATGTACATACAGTAGGATTTCACTGATCACCCTTCCAGCCCTCAAACCAGGACATTTCTCATGGGGTCCAGCAGCAGCCCCCAAGGGCCAGAGCAAAGTGCCAAAGCACTAACTAAAATCCAGATGGTGGATTTTATATATAAAAATATTTCAAGTTCCCCTTTATTTTCTGGAGTAAGTCCTTGCCCCCTTTTTGTTCAGTCTTCCATCATTAAATCTAGGTTGCTCAGTTCAATACACACCCGCCCTCCCACAAACACTTAGATTGAATCCCTCTATATTTAGAATGTACTGTAGATTGTAAGAATGTAATATATATATATTTATAAACATGCCAACTGTGAATAAAATTTGCATTTTAGTGGCTTCATCTTTTTTCCCTACTCTGAACGCCTCTTTCCTTTCACTGTCAGAGCATTTACCCTGAGAGAGCCTGGCAGCAGTACAGAGATGTGTCCTGTGATGGATCCAGGGAGGCTCATGGCACAATCCACTCACAGAATTTTACACTCTGCAGTGCTGGGGCAGAACATGCAGCACCAACAACGTGTTATGCTGCAAATGTAGGTGCACCAAGCCACCCTTCCAAGATTTGAAACTGTTTGCAATAAATCCACATGCTTTATTTCTAGCCTGAAAGCCCAATACATGAGTTTCTGGGTTTTGGGTTTTCTTCTCTTGGGAAGGTCCACATTCAGCTGAACACCTTGTAAGGCGATTTTAGTGAGTAAATAGAGAAATGTGTCCAATGCTTTGGAGATCAGATGGTCTTTGATTTCTTTCAGCACCTCTGCTCAAGTGTTGATGATCCAGTGCAGGACGAGTGCAGCAGTGCAGGACAAGTGCAGCAGTGCAGGGTGAATGCAGCAGTGCAGGACAAGTGCAGCAGTGCAGGACAAGTTCAGCAGTGCAGGACAAGTGCAGCAGTGCAGGACAAGTGCAGCAGTGCAGGACAAGTGCAGCAGTGCAGGAGAAGTGCAGCAGTGCCAGGACAAGTGCAGCAGTGCCAGGACAAGTGCAGCAGTGCAGGACAAGTGCAGCAGTGCAGGAGAAGTGCAGCAGTTCCAGGACAAGTGCAGCAGTGCAGGATGAGTGCAGCAGTGCAGGAGAAGTGCAGCAGTTCCAGGACAAGTGCAGCAGTGCAGGATGAGTGCAGCAGTGCAGGACAAGTGCAGCAGTTCCAGCACGAGTGCAGCAGTTCCAGCACGAGTGCAGCAGTGCAGGACAAGTGCAGCACTGAGGACAGCACAGTGCAGGCTCCAGACAAGCTGTGGCTGAGCTCTCAGGTGAGGGAAGCAGCCTTGTTGCCTTGTGTGCAGCTCTGGGGATATTTTGGGTGCTTTGGTGTCTGCAGGGAGGCAGGCAGGGTGAGGGTGCCCCGGGCACAGCAGAGTGTGAGTGCAGGGCTGCCTGTGCAGGTGTCCCTCGCTGGGAGCAGCAGGTACAGTCGGTGCTGGGTACAGTCGGTGCTGGGTACAGTCAGTGCCGGGTACAGTTGGTGCCGGGTACAGTCGGTGCTGGGTACAGTCGGTGCTGGGAGCAGTCGGCGCTGGGTACAGTCAGTGCTGGGTACAGTCGGTGCTGGCACAGTCGGTGCTGGCACAGTCGGTGCTGGGTACAGTCGGTGCTGGGTACAGTCAGTGCTGGCACAGTCGGTGCTGGCACAGTCGGTGCTGGGTACAGTCGGCGCTGGCACAGTCGGTGCTGGCACAGTCAGTGCTGGGTACAGTCGGTGCCAGGAGCAGCAGGCACAGCTGCCCTGCCACACCCAGCTCCTGCACAGCTGCTCTGGGCAGCAGCAGGCACTGACAGCAGGCACTGACAGCAGGCACTGACAGCAGGCACTGACAGCAGGCACTGACAGCAGGCTCCTGTGCTGGCACAAGGCACAGGGATGCTCTCTGAGGACAAACAGCCTCCAGCTGCAGCACTGAGGATCCTGACATGCAGATCCTGCCTGTGTGCTTGCTCAGGGGTCCCTGTGTGTCCTGCAGCTGGAAATGCCTACCAGCCACAGGGCAGTGCTCCAGATAATGCAAAGGGTCCAGGGTGCTCTTTTCCCGTGGATCTCACGGTGCCTGAGCAAGGTGTGCTCCTTACTGACATGGGGAACCCCAAGCCAGGGGATTTGCCCAGAGTCACTGCAAATCTGTGACAAAACCCCACTGTGCAGGACCCTGAGAGTGAACTGTGGCCACCTGTGTGCAAGCAAACACTCTAATTAATCTGCTAATGGCAGAATAAATCAACTTCCTATAGAGATTTGGGCAGGTATGTATCTGTTGGGAGGGGGTGTTTGTGTGCACTCCCTTTTTGTGCTGCTCAGGGCCCTTTTTTTGTTTCTAAACAAAACCCTCTGCACCTTGGAGCATCCCAGGGGAAGAATTCTGTGTTTCAGATCCCACCTGGCAAACGTGGAGCCTAAATCCTGTTCCCCACCATCAAAGCAGTGATGGTGCTCAGGTGCTGCAAACACACAATGTTTTGCAGCTGTGGCTCCCACTGGCAATCCCTTGAACCTGATAAAGAGCCCTGCTGACAGCAAGCACTCTCCTGTGAGAGTTATTAATTACTTTATTGTTTTCTTCTTTGCAGTTGCCTCTTACTGTCATGTTTGAGTCTTTCTTCCTGTGAGTAGACTGATTGAGGCATGTTTTTTAAAAAAAGAAGAACATTTATCTGATAGTTTGGTTCTTTTTAGGGACTTTATGCATGAATACAACCAGGAGTAGAAACTTGATGGTCCTATAAATCAGGTAAGCTGGTTCTTTACTCTCTTCTTTCATTTTAAAAGCTTCCCCTTCAGCAGAGTTAAATATATGGTGGTTCAGACCCAGCTGCATTAATACACCCATGAATTCAAAGTCTGAGCAGTGCAGCTAAATAATTGGTTTGAAACAAGACTTCTCTGGAGGTAAGTGACTTGAAAAACCAGAATAGGTATTAAATCCATGTGCAGCCTGCACCGAGTAGCTCTGGAAACTGCTTTCACACCTCGTTTCCATAATGAATGGGATGTAAATGAAACGAGCACCCTGGAGACACTTCAGTTCAGCTCTGTGCATGTTCAGGCTCTCCAGGAGTGCCAGCTCTCAGTCTCCCGTGCCCCAGGGGCTGCTGTGCTGTGGAAGATGCTTGGTGAGAGCTGAAGGACTCGTGTAGAGCAGCTTGGGAGAGCCTTGCAGATGTGGCACTGAGGTGAGAGAGCTGGCTGGACTCGCTATTGATCACAGTCCAGCAAGCATCACTGAGGAATTAGCTCGGGGAAGGAGCTATCACTGCCAAATGGTGCGTTTAGAAAACGCCTCAAGCGTTTAAAAAAACTCCCAGAGATGAATTTATTTAGTGCTGAATGCCCAGGAACTCTGTCACGTATTTCTACATGTTCATTGTGCCAGAGCCCATCCCTGCACAGCCCTGCAGCCACACATCACTGCCTGCAGTACAAAGCCAGCACAGCTGTCCTGGTGCCAGCTGTCCCCAGAGCAATGCCCAGGGCAGGACAGGTGTGTCCTGCAGGACAGGGACAAGGTGCCAGCCCCAGCTCCCCACACTGCCCTGTGTGGCTGCAGCTCGAGGCCAAGAGAGCTCTGAACCAGGTGAGGCCATCACCTTCAGAGTGCTGAGGACACACAGTCTGCTCCTGGTTCATTTCTGTTTGACAGCCCCCAGGTGGGCTCTGCTCATGCCCTTCCCCAGCCTTGTGCTTCAGCACCTTCCTCGTGCAGGAATACTGCTCCTTCCCTGTGGAGTGAGTGATGTGCTGCTTGGCTTCCTGGTGAAAGCCTGAGCAGGTGGAGTTGAAAACTGGCAGCGTTAATGGCCTGAGAGGAGCAGAGCCCTGCTCATCCTCGGGAGCAGCACAAGGACCAAGGTTACTCCAGTCCAGCAAGCATGCCTGGAACAGGATCATTTTCTACCTTCCTGCTGATGTGATATGAAGACCTCTGTCAACAAATCCTTCATTATGCAGGCTCCCTGCTCCAGCTCCGTGAGGAGCAGCAAATTAAGCAGCCCACGAATGCAATATTAATGGCTGGAGAAGCAGCAGCGCTCCTGTGTTTGTGTGTACTGCCAGTGCTCATTAGGAAATCCCCACCACGCTGCCAAGGTGGCTGCTGGATTACACACGACAAGTTCTGCCACATCCCCTCCAGGCAGCCCAGGGAGCCTGCAGGGACACGAATGCCCCAAGTCACGTTGGTTCACAGCAGCCCTGAGCTCCTGTGCTGCTCCCTCCTGCAGCCACAGACCCTGCTCTGCTCCGTGCTGGGCCTGCATCCTGCATCTCTGTTCTGTGCTGGGCCTGCATCCTGCAGCTCTGCCCTGTGCTGGGTACCAGCTCTGCCCTGCATCCTGCAGCTCTGCCCTGTGCTGGGTACCAGCTCTCTGTGCCTGCATCCTGCAGCTCTGCTCCATGCTGGGTACCAGCTCTGCCCTGCATCCTGCAGCTCTGCCCTGTGCTGGGTACCAGCTCTCTGTGCCTGCATCCTGCAGCTCTGCCCTGTGCTGGGTACCAGCTCTGCCCTGTGCTGGGCCTGCATCCTGGAGCTCTGTTCTGTGCTGGGTACCAGCTCTCTGTGCCTGCATCCTTCCAGCTCTGCCCTGTGCTGTGTCCCAGCTCTCTCTGGCACCTGGCAGAGCCCAGATGGGTGTCCCCAGCACCAAAATGCTGCAGCTTTGAATTCTAACAGGGACTGTGCTTATTCATGTTCAGGCCCATGTTCCTAATAATTAAATTAGAGCTTCCTACAGTCAGTTAATGCACTAATGACATAAAAAGCAATCCAAGGAGCCTCACTACTCAGCCCTGATAATACGAGGCTGCAGAGATGACTGAGTCCCATTTTCAGCTGAGCTCAGTAAGTGCAGATGGGCAGAGTGGAGCAGAAATAAGGACAGAAGAAAGGGGGCTGTCCTTCCATGTCCCTGAGCCCTGCCTAGGTCAGCACTCTCTGGCTGTGCCCAGCCCAGGATGATCTGTATCCACGAAGATCCTCTACCTGTATCTCATGGCTCCCTATTTCTTCAGCAAATCCTTTGTCTGATGACTGTGGACACACATTTTCCATCCTCTTGTCATCAAGCCAAACCCCTAAATCACTGTGCTCCTCTTGACCATTAATAACTTTACAGCTTTCTTCCATCAGTCCCCTCTCTCAGGCCTAATCAATAGCTTTGCTCTTAGCATTTGGCATTCCCTCCTGTCCTGCCCGTCAGGATACCAAGGTCAAACCAGTCCCTCTTGTGTTTCTTCCTTAAATAAGTGGTATGAGCCTGCAAAGTATTTTGCAATAGTGAAAAATCCCATGTATTGATCAGGTCTTGCTCTGTACCCAGCTCTCCACACAGCCTGACTTTCACAGAGTGCTCAGTAATTGTCTTTGGCAGCACCAGTCCCTGCAGCTGGAGAGGAATTTTGGGCAGGCTGCAAGTGCAAGCTCACAAGGATTTTTTTTCATTGCACTGCACATGCACAGCCCTTGCACAATCACCCCAGCCCCAGAGGATTTTAATCATCTCTTCTAATCCATAATTATTAATTGTTATTAATTGTAAAGCATAATTGTTCTGTCCCCTCATCCCCTGCAGAGCTGGTGTCCCCCACTCCAGCTGCACCCTGAGGAGGTGCAGGGGGTGCTCTTTTAACCCAGCTGTAATGTGATTATTGCTGGGGAAGACAAAGAGGGAGGGCAGGCAGACACACTGAGCATTGTGACTCAAATCAGGCCTTAAACCAGGGGAAATTTCCAGGGTTTAGAGCAAGAGTCAGGCCAGACTACTGAAAAAATTTGCAAGCAGCTAAATTTTGCCACTCTGATGCTCCTAAAGAAAATAACATCATCTCCTCCTTCGGAGTCACACCCTTACATCTTGAAAGCCTGGTTCAGCTTCTCACCCTCCCCTGCAGTGACCTGGGCTATAAACAGCCTCTCCTCCCTTTGGGGTGTAGCTTGGCAGCTCTGCAGGGGATCAAAAAGGGAAAGCAGCAGAGGGGGGAGAAAGGAGCAAAAGGGGACAGGGACAGCCAGGCTGGGGCTCGGGGGCAGCCTGCCCTGTTGGGGATGAGCAGCAGGACACACACAGGGATGGATCTCTGGGATCTGTGGGGTGCACTCAGCACTGGTGCCACCTCCAGCAGGGTTTGTGGTGAGCCCAGTGTCCCCAGCTCGGCCTGGACCGTGCCCTCCCTGGCTCCCAAACCCAGAATCCATGGCCTGGGTGGGATTCTGGGGCTTCCCTGGATTAACCTGGAGCTCCAGGTGGAACACAGAGCACAGATCTCCAAGGGAAATGCCTCTCACACTCATTAGTGTCACCAGCTGCTGTGGCTTTGGACGGAGGCAGAGGGTGGGAGATGATGCTTTTCTATTCCAAGGCAGCAGGAGGCCTTAAAAAATTCATATTCATGTGTTTCTGTGGATGTATATACAAATATGGGTGCCATAGGTGTATCCAGAGTCACCTGTCCTCGTTTCTAACTCATCATTTACTTACTACAGCTTCCCCATCCCCCTTTATAATATTTTCACTTACTGTACTTTAAAGAGACAGAAATAGCTTGTCAGATTGAGACAGCTCTTGAGAAGTTTAATTTCCCTAATGCTTGTTGGAAATCCCCTTTCTGAATCTGCAGGAATATTAAGGTTCTTAGCATGAGCTGTGCAGAGAGGGAATTTGCAAGTGAAGCTGTCAGGGAATTGCAGTTGGGTTGGGAGAGGTTTGATGGGCAGCAGGATGGGTGCAGGATGGGTGTGCAGGGAGGGGACCCTCCCAACCTCCAAAGGCAATTTGGTAAACTGATTGACATCTAAATATTTGGTGTGGAAGAGAAAGAAAGAACATTTCACTGGCTGCAGCACTAACCGGGTTTGGAGTCATTCATGGTCTTTATGTAGAAGTCAATGAAAGATTTACTGGGAAGAACAGCTTGTGTGACAAAACCTGCTCCTGTTGCACACAGCTTCCCCTCGATGTCACCACTGAGGAATATTCCACAGAGCTTTCCCTGGGTGACAGTTATTTGAATTATTCAAGTGACAGATGAATCCTTGTCACATTTCCAGCACGAGCACCGTTACTCCTCAGCAGCACCTGGGGTTTGAAAGCCTCGTGAGCCGCGGTGGCTCCGCTCTGCACTGGAGCCTGGCAGCCAGGTGAGAGCCTGGGGACAGGGGAAAGAGCCTGGGGACAGGGGACAGAGCCTGGGGACAGGGAACAGAGCCTGGGGACAGGGAACAGAGCCTGGGGACAGGGGCCAGAGCCCTGGGGACAGGGAACAGAGCCTGGGGACAGGGGACAGAGCCCTGGGGACAGGGGACAGAGCCTGGCAGCCAGGTGAGAGCCTGGGGACAGGGACCAGAGCCCTGGGGACAGGGGACAGGGGACAGAGCCCTGGGGACAGGGGACAGAGCCTGGGGACAGGGAACAGAGCCTGGCAGCCCAGGTGAGAGCCTGGGGACAGGGGAAAGAGCCCTGGGGACAGGGAACAGAGCCCTGGGGACAGGGAACAGAGCCTGGCAGCCAGGTGAGAGCCTGGGGACAGGGAACAGAGCCTGGGGACGGGGGCCAGAGCCCTGGGGACAGGGAACAGAGCCCTGGGGACAGGGGACAGAGCCCTGGGGACAGGGAACAGAGCCTGGGGACAGGGACCAGAGCCCTGGGGACAGGGGACAGAGCCTGGGGACAGCAGAGCCTGCCCAGGCAGGGGACAGGGGCTGCTGGCACCTCCCTGCAGCTCTTGCTCCGATTCCTCTTGGAATTGCATCTCCCTTTCCATCTCAGGGCCCCTGGATTTGGGGAATGCTCTGTTTCAGTTATGATGAGAAGGGCAACACATTGCACTGGACTCCTGCCCGGCAAACATTAGCTAATTATTGTCTGTCTTTTTCTCTAATTACTTTTAATTAATTTTTTTAATGACTTCCACAATGGTTGCTTGTTTAGTCCTTTTCTCCCTTTTGAAGCTGTAGCTCTCCTCATGTTATCAGAACTCCCTAGCTCCAGGCTGACATCCACAATGAAAATTGGCTTTTGTTACCATATCTTTGTGATAAGTTTGGGTTTAGTCGAGTTGGCATGAGGTGTTGTGAGCAGAGTTCAGCTTGTGGAACAGATGTAGAGGGGCTCTGAGAGCCCTGTGCTGCAGAGCTGTGGCACAGGGCCCTGATTTCCACTGCAATTCCCCTCTGAGTTTGGTAAGGGGAATTTGGTAATTCCTCTGATTTTGGGAAGGGGAATTTGGTAATTCCTCTGAGGTTGGTAAGGGGAATTTGGTAACTCCTGTGTTTGGTAAGGGGAATTTGGTAACTCCTGTATTTGGTAAGGGGAATTTGGTAATTCCTGACTTTGGTAAGGGTGGTTTACTGCCTGCCTGTTGCACATCTGAAACCTCTGTGGCCTAAAACCGAGCACCCCACTCTAAATACTGCTCAACAACTGAGGATTTAAATGTTCCAGCTCTTTAGCTCCCCAGCATTTCTCAGGCCAACAGAAAATTCAGAGAAATCCAGGTTTTGCAGGAAAAAGTAATTTTTTTTTTAATGACAACACTCAGCAGGTAACCCCAGAGCAAAAATCTCCATTTGGCCTTGGACACCCATCCATGGCTGATACAAAACCTGCAATCCCATCCCCAGAGGAAGCAGATTAGCACCCTAAGCCACCAGATAATTCCCATTGTGTATTATGTGCAACTGCACGAGCAAAATGTTTTGCTGCACATTATGCTCCATTATTTTGGAATACAATGGTTCCCTTGGCATTAGTGCCAAATGAATGGAGAGTTCATTTCATCTGAAAGACTAAACAAACACACGCTGACAATGAGGATAAATCAGATTGCTGCAGCACTTTCAAGGAGCTGGTAAAAATAATATTTTAATCAAATAACTCAGCTGTAACTAGCATGAACTACTGGGAAGGTTAAGGCTGTGGCTCAGTGTTCTACTGAGAAAACACAGAATTATTCCAAACACGCCGTTCCATCGGGTTAAAAGCAGAGGATGCAAAGCAGTTTCCAGCCCTAACAGCAAACTGAAGCCACCAAAAAATGCCAGAACACACCAGGGCTTTTCAGAGCCTGCCATCTCCTGCTGTTCTGCACTTCCCAAATCTCAGCTCAAGGTCTAAGCCATTAAAGTCCTTCCAACACGGCTTTGAAAGGCTTTTTAATTTTAATAATGTTTGCTTCTTTTGCATTTCTTGACAAGATCCTGCCACTTGACGTATGTTGTTGAAAAGGTGCTTTTCACCTCCTGTGAATATGGGTACTTAGTCACACATTAACCTTATTGCAATTTAATTTTCACATTTGACTTTTCTTATTTTAGGTAAAACCTCACTTATTTCTGACTTCTGGGCAGAGTAATTCTAACCCTGGCCTGTGGGGAAAAATGAAAATAAACAAAGGGAAAGCATCAGCAGCACATCCTCATTATTGCGTTTATGTTAAGGGGCTCTGTTTTCCTCCCTCCCAACAGATGAAGCAACAAGATTTTATTTCAAATAAGTTTCTCTTGCTCAGTCCTTAATGGCTCGAAGTTAATGCCCTGAGGAATAATCTGACTTATTTTCTCTAATTTTCTACAGCAGAGCTGCTGCACAAATCCTTCCCATCAGCACAGCCAGATTCCCCAGTCTTGCCCTGGAAAGTGTGTGCTCCAGTTTGCTTTCTAAGCCTCCCAAGCACACAGGAGGGGTGCACCTGAGCCTCCTGTGCTTCTTGCACAGG